CCCCTTCACCAAAATGGACATGCATAGCCTTTAGGAGGCTTATAAAGTGCTTCTGGGGGCGGGGGGGGGGGGCAGAATTAAGCAAAAACCGGCCCATATTTCGCTCATTTCTGCCCTCTCCAGTCCCCAGGAACACTCTGCAAGGCTCCTAAAGGCTCTGCACCGCCATTTTTGTGAAGGGAGCAGGGTTTCAGGAGGCCAAAAATGCTGTATTCAGTGTATAAGATGCACCCAGATTTTCAGCCTCTTTTTTGAGGGAAAAAGGTGCATCTTATATTCCGAAAAATACGGTAAATTTGAAATTGTTCTCTTTCCTGTTTTGTTCAGGCCTCATCTACTTTTGGAATGGGTTTCCTGGAACGTAGCCTTTATTTTGGAAAATGTTGCACATTTTTAAGACCAATGGGACAAAAGGGTGGGGGCTTGAGGTATGGTGCTTTTCTGTCACTAGCTGCAGGACTTCCATCAAACAGACCTGATTAGCCAAAAGATTCTTCATGCTGCCTCCAAACTCTGTCTTTCCTATTGCAGTTCACCATCCCATCTCCAGGCTTTCACACTCAGAACCATCTTCTTCCACGCCGTCCCCAGCCCCCAGCTTGGAGAGTATCACATCTGAATGTTTGGCCAAGGCTGCTGATAACCTGAACGATGGCTCTGTGCCGAAGAGCTCCTCTGAGCCTACAGTCCATGCTCCAGCTGCTTCCATCCTTTCCCACTCGGACTCCCCGCTGATCAGTGTCCCTTCTGGTGAGGGACCTACAGTTCTGCCCGCCTGTTCTACCGATTCCTCTTTATCGTCATCGAGTGATTTGATGGGCAATGGGGATGAGGCACAAGGTGGACATTTACAGACTGGCAGAATTTGTTTGTCTGGGAACTTGAAAACCAGCCCTGGGAATACCTTTCCTAAGCCTCCTGCTGGAGCATCTCCCACACCCATTCTCTTGGCATCAGAGTTGAACAGTGGGTCTGCAAGTAACTCTCCTTCACCCAAAGCACAGCCAAAGGTAGGTAGCAGGCATAGTTGGAAGCTCTCTGTCTTTTTCTTTCCTTCCCTTACTCTTCCCCCGTCTCTCTCCACCAAAGCTATTCATTGGTATACTTAGCTTTCTAGGAAACATATGGGATTTGTTCGTTATAAAACATTCAGACAATTCCATCTTTGTCCATAAAAAGCTTCTTTGGTCTCTTGGCATCACTTAGACGTAGGGCCAATGCAATGGTGGGTTCCGGATCCCATTGCAACTGGTACGCTGCAACGGGGCTGGGCATCCACCTCGGGCATGCATGCTGTGCATGCTTGCACACCCACTTCCCTGCGACGCTCCAGCTGCTCAGCGAAGGTCGCGCAGGCGCTATAGGCTGCGCACACGTGCACAAATGGCCCGGTTGGCTTAAATACAGATAAGGAACATGGGTGGGCCCTCCAAAACACCGTTCTGGTATGGTGGCTGCTCCCAGCTGCTACTGCTACGCCCATACTGGGGCGTACTGGCTGGAACCCACCACAGGGCCAATGGTATTTGGCTCTGAAGTTCTGTTTAGAGCTGGCCATTTTAAAATTTATTATTTTGTTCACTTTTGACCACAACTTGGTTTTCCTCAGGGGGTTAAAGAACTAGGCTCATTTGGAGAGCAAAAGTCTACCTCACTTTGATTAGTGAAAATATTCTTGACACTGCCTTCACCAAGAAGTTCATTTTATTTGCTTCTGAATTATTTTCCCAGAAATGATTATGGGACAAATTATGTAAACTAGAGAAGACAAGAACTGCCCTACAGAGAGGGACCATAGCTCAATGCACACACTTCGCATAGTAATTCAATTAAACAGTAGGGCTGGAAAAACTTTTGTCTTAAATTGTGATATTTGCCAGTTAGATTCTAAAAGATAGATTGACAGTTTCAGTGCAACTTCCTACTGTCTTTGAATCTTGGTTTTTAATGTTGACAGAAATTACTCTCTAATCCTTCAGTGTTTCCACAGCACTTATGACTTCTTATAGCACCTATTTTTTCTTTCTTGGAAATCTCATCCTGATCTAGATGTAAAATGACCTGGACAATATATTCATTTGTTCCTACTTATCTGACCTGGAGGGGAAATTTTTGAAGGTGATACACTCTTTAGCAATGCATTTGGAATGTTCCCATTAAAGAATGAGGCTGCAGCCCAGAATCACAAGATGTGTTTTTATCTGTTTGTACCTAGTCATCCTGTAAGGAGAATCCCTTCAACCGGAAGCCATCACCTGCCGCTTCCCCTTCTATTAAGAAAGCTTCAAAGGGACCCAAACCAGCAAGGCCTCCTGCTCCTGGACATGGTTTCCCACTAATAAAAAGGAAGGTAATTGGGATTGGGGGGAAATGGGGAAGTACTTTTGCATGGTGCTTCCTGAACTTCCTTTTTAAAAAAAAACAGATTTTGGAAGGGGGTTACTAACCTTCTAAGAGAGGGGTTGAATACTAAGACAGCTTATCTTCATTTTCCAGAATTTTCATCAATGCCAATTATGGGTGGTGAATTTTGGCAGTTAAAATTCACATATCTGAAAGGGGCACAATGTCAGAAGGCTGCCAAAAGGTTCTATAAGGAAGTGCATTACTATGTAATGGTATAGTGGCTTTTTCTAAAGACTGCACTACAGTAAAAGTCATCATCTCAGGTTCTAAAATTGTGGCCTTAGAACTTGGCTTAGAACATTCCAACCTCCAATTCTCTTTTTTGTAATGATTTCCATACATTGTTATTGCCATAGTCAAAATTACAGCTGCATGTGTAAATTTAAGCACACTTGGTCAAATGAAATATTTCAGTGCCTTCACAGTCCCAGGCTTGAATATTATTAAGATCCTGTGTGGAGATCTCAAACTTCCTAAAAGAATGTTTAAGCTAGAAGAGTTCTACCAGGAAGATGGGAAAAAATTCCAAGAAAGAAAATAGAAAGATACTTATCTGACTACAGAAAACACTTGGAAGTTTTCAATTCTTCCAAGGCTGTTACACGAAGTGGTGACTAAAATGGTGTTCCCAAAATTTCTGCATGCCATATTCATTCTTTCTTTAATTTAAATTTGTAAATATCTATACATACATCATAACCATGTATTCAGATTTGCAGAAAGATGTATTTTAGCTTTGTATCATGTACGGACTATGCCAACTTTTACTCACCGAAATGTACAATTTGACTAGAGATGCCCAAACTTTTATATAAAACAACATAAGGAATGACATAAATTGAGAGTGAATTTGGTGTAGTGATTAAGGCATCAGGCTAGAAATGGAAACTGAATTCTAGTTCTGCCTTAGGCACAAAGGCAGCTAAGGTGACCTTGGGCCAGTCACTTTGTATCAGCCCTAGGAAGGAGGCTGTGGCAAACCACTTCTGAAAAACCTTGTCATGAACACTTCAGGCACTTGTCCAGGCAATCTCAAAGAATCAGACACAATTAAATTGGGGGGGGGGGGATTTGATTCCTGTCAGTTAACCATGAATTTGAATTTGCTTCCTTAGGCTTGAATGTTCAGTTAAATAAAGACAATAAACCACTCCCTGCCTGCCTTTCACAGTTGTGAAGGAGTTAGGCAGTCAATGCCTGTTTCAGGCAAGAAGTTAGAATAAATTTGGCATTTTGTATCTTCTCCCCAAATTTTCTCCTGCTTCTGTCTCATTGTCTGTTATTGTCTGTAATAACAGAAACTGTTATTTCTCTCTGCCTACTCTGGAAATACTTGATACTTTATACAAATCTTGTTTGGAATAAAACATATGGTTCCTTATCCCCCCCCCCTCTTTTTTATAGGTTCAGTCAGATCAGTATGTTCCAGTGGAGAATATTTATGGTGAAATGGACAGCATTGAGCAGCAGCTGGATGAGTTAGAACACCGAGGAGTTGAGCTGGAAAGGAAACTCCGGAGCATGGAGAATGGTAGGATAGCTGATGCTACTCCTAAGGCTGGATAAGGAAAGGAAATGTGTTTTTCTAACCTTACCCTGTCCTGTCTCCAATTGGCAGATATCCCTGAAGATAGTTTGCTGGTGGATTGGTTTAAGCTGATTCATGAGAAACATATGCTAGTGCGTCGGGAGTCTGAACTTATCTATATGTGAGTACAATATAAGCTGCAATTGAGTTCAGCAAGACTTAACTTTTGAATAAATATGCTATGAATTATATTTGTTAGGTGGCCAAGAATCCAAAGGAATCTCGTGGCACTTTTTCTGAAACTTAATTGTCTTTTAATAAATTTTATTAAAAGCCATTAAGTTTCCATAAGCTGCAGCTCACTTCCTTTATGTATCTGCTTATGTGAGCTGCAGTCATGAAAATTTATGAATGAATAAAAAATTATTTGTCAAAAAAAGTGCCATTAGACTCCTTCAGATTTTTCACCACTATAAATTAATGTGGATCTCTTCCTAAAATCCCTACAGTGAGAAGTTGGGTAGTTTCCTGCATATGGGGCATAGAATGAAAGCAAAATGGCTAGCATTTTTTCATTCACTTACATTCCACTGACAGTCCTTGAAAATTATGGAAGAACCTTGGAGCAATATAATCAGAAATAAAGACACCCTCAAATATACCACAGAAATAGAAGTAACGTAGCAGAATCTAGATGATTCAGGAACCATTTCTTGTCAAGATCTTCCAAGCTGAAAAGGTAGAGCTGAAGAATTTGATGCTATTTAGCCCATCACACCTGGAAACTACCAATGTCTAATACTTTCTAAGCACATGATGGAAGTACTCTTTTGTTGTTAAGAAACTTTCCTGCCAAACTCTTGGACATTGAACTGGCTTTCCCTCCTGTGGACAGTCCTGAAGGATATTTCATACAAGTGCATGCTTACCTATTTAAGCAGTTGATTATTTGTAGGAAGCCCAGAAATATGAGTGTAAAACATTCAAAGTACTTCTGACCTTTGGAAAAGTGATCTACCTGGATTTCATTCAGTATTTCAATAGCGACAAATTCGGTAATGACAACAGAAATGCAAATGGGGGGGGGGCAGCCATAAGCAGTGCCTTTCTTAGGCAGCAGAAATTGTGTAAAATGCTTGGAGAATAAAGCATTTTTTTTTTACTGAAGATTTGAGAGACGTATGTTGGTCCTCAAAGATGGTATATCAGTTTTTACAATAATTAAAGCAATAATACATATTCTGTTTCTTCTTTCGAGTTTTAAGCAGCAGAACTTGGAGCAACGTCAAGCTGATGTGGAGTATGAGCTGCGATGTCTTCTTAATAAACCTGGCAAGTCTTAAAGGGTGTTAGCCTGCTGTTTGCTTTTTTTTTTTTTAAAAGATCTTAAGTGAAATATGTTGTTGCATTAGGAAATTATTTAAATCATAAGCATCTGTTCTCTCATTGGGTTTGGTTCTTCCCTAATCCAATATCGGTCATGCATGGGCTGCGCTGGAGGGAAATGATGAGAATTACAGTTTGATACATCTGGGAGGAATTACATGGAGGGAGACTGAGTTGTGCTTATTGCTTTTTAAATGTTTTTTTTAATTTGTTTCACCATACCTTGGCTGCCAGCAGGGAGTACTGTTCTATAAAAGCAGAGTCTCTGTTGCTAACCAAGAGCTTTTCTGCATGCTCTCTATTTCTGTCCTAAGAGCAAGAATCCAACAAAAAAGAAACTCCCAAAATAGGCTGAAAGCATAATGACTTGTTGAAATATATCAGAGCTTACTGATTCATGACTGGATTCAAATGAGTATTGAACCCACGGTTGATCCTTTAATATACATGATAACAATAATTATGGTCACAGAATCAGCCAGATGTTTAGGCTGGATTTGGCATTTTTATACACCTATCAAATCTTTCCCAAAGACCTGGGATAGACAGATGTTGTCTGATGGTATTAAAGGTATTGTCAGGATGTAAACTGTTCCAAGTAAATCTGGCATTTGCAACTGACTGGTGGTAATTTTGTTGATACCATTAGTGTTCAAGTGGTGGTCCAGATGTTTTGGGATGATTATTATTCAATCCCACCTTTTAAAATATATTTTGATGAGCTCTCATTGTTCATTTTCAGCAAAGAAACTCAATGGCACATAAAATATAGACTGCCTAGTGTTAATCTACTATTGTTTGTTCTGATGGCAGTGGATTTCTACAGAATCCTGGTATTGTGTTACTGAATATGCTACTATACAAGCAGAATAGAAAAACAAACTTTACCCAATCTTTTATATATTCTCAGCATGTTTAATATGTAGTGAAGAATAAATACATAAATGGTGATCAAAAGCACTTTTCTCATGTAACATTACATAGAGCCTAAATTGTCTTTATTATATAATTTCTTTCTTTCTTTCTTTCTTTCTTTCTTTCTTTCTTTCTTTCNGCCCAACTGCTTCCGATCAGGTGCAAAGGTTTGGGAGACAAAAGATGACCTTGAGCTTCTAGGAAGGAATTTATTATTTTGAAAACAACACATTCTACCCCTTGCTAATCTGCCCCCCACCCTTAATGAGAGTGTGGCAGGCCAAAGATTCTTAAAGGAACCGCTGCAGGCCTGACATAGTGTCTGACACATTGGCTATCACATATTTGCCTAATGCTGCTGACCATAAAGCCATGGTTTAGAGAGCCCTGCATTATATTTTTCATGGCTGCATTCACCTTTGAGCTACACCCAGCAGCTCAACATAAAGCAGTCCCTAAATATGGATAACGATATCTGCCGAAGCTTAGATTGGCCTCAGTCTTATTCCACTACTCTGTAGCAATCATAAGACACATATATTCCACGTGATTCTTATTATTCCCTCATTGCAACATTGATGCACCTGCTCACTGAAGTAGTGAATGAAATATGGGCAGGTGGTGTTATTACCTTGGGGTATGGTCTGTATGATAGCATATGCAGATATGATGTCTCTGGAGCAAGCTGTTACATGTACCTAATGCCTACCTTCAATCATTATAAAATTACTTAGCTCTGCTTAGAAAAGATGCTAACATCATAGGCTTCCTACTGCTACAAGAGATAAACAAGAGTGGATGAAGGGTGAATAGATATTTGATCGTCCCTAATTTCAAAAGATGTTTAGTAGACTTCACTTGCTAATCCAGGCCTCGAAGTTGTATGAATTAGATTCAACAGAGAGAAAGTCCTGTTAGCTAAGCAGTAGATGAGGAACTGGGTTTATTGAAAGGCAAAATGTTGTTTACAGTTCAAATAAAGGAGTGTATTTGGATTGCAAACCTCAGTGCATTATCAGTAGTGTGTATGCAACAGCTAATAAGAAGAATTAAAGTCTCCCAAGTAAGCAAGCCAGCTTTATTTGGAGTGGGAAGATGGAGATGTTGGAAAATATGGGAAATATTGGGGGGAGGGGAGGAGGCTAAATTGAAAAGCAAAAAGAAATGAGGTGAAGAAATGCTTGTGTCTTTCTTCTTCACTTTTAATATTTTCTCTGGCACTTCTGTAAAAGTAAAACATTTAAGAAATGCATACTTAAGCTAAAATGGGATGAAAGGAATGGAGAATACAAACAGATATGCTCATCAGCAGCAGTGAGAGCAATCCAACAATGCCTTGCAACGATACCTTTTTTTCTCCCTCTTTCTTCTCTTGTCAGAACTACCAGTAGTTCCAGAATGATTTCTTTAGTGCCCCTTAAATGCTTGCAGTTTTCCCTCCATCAGATTTCTAGATCTATCTTGAACCAATAACAATAGATATATAAGGCTATTATTGCCCAGAAAAAAATGTAAAGGTAGAATCCAGTTGTAAAGCATCATTCCATTCATATTGCTTAGAATATCATGCAGCACTTGAAAAAGAGCTGTTGTTCAAGAAGAGGCATTTTGTTTTTTTACTGAGAGAAAACCAGCACATTTTAATCCATACATGAAACAAAACACTCAAAGCTTGTGTTCTCTTCCAAGCTCAGAACACTCAGAACATCATTCTTTAGATCAGAACAATTTGTGCCAGAATATGCCCCTAAACTTAACTTGCTAAATCATTTTCAGTTCAGGGAAGGGAAATTATTTAGCACTGGACTTAACACCTCATGTTAGAAGTTTTGTCGTTTAAGAAAAGGTCATAGATCATAGAGAAAAAAAAAGGAAAGGATCTTTGAGATTTAAGACAATGTAGAGAGAATCTGGGATGCGGTGGCTCAGTGGCTAAGACACTGAGCTTGTCAAATCAAAAGGTTGGCAGTTCGGTGTTTCGAATCTCTAGCGCTGTGTAATGGAGTGAGTTCCCGTTATTTGTCCCAGCTTCTGCCAAGCAGGGTTGTAAATTATTGGCAGGAGGGAAAATGATGAGAGGTTTGCATTCTCAAATCTATCCTAACATTGGATTTCCATGTGTTGTTGAACTCTAGCATTCACAATCTTTAGTCAGCTTCTCTACTTGCCAGGGATGGTAAGTATTGTAGTTTAAACATCTGGGGATCCAAAGTTATAAAAGGCTTATCTACACCTTATTAAGAGAGCTTGTTATTTATACCCTCATTGTAGATGGAGGAAGGCTAAAATCTGCAGGGATATGCAAGTTGTTGAGTTTTATATACACATTTGAATTAAAGAGACAGTTATTTCACTGCAGACTTTTAGTCTGAGTTACTTTACTGTCAGGTTCTTTGGCAGTTGCCTGAAACCCAAGTAAATCTTTCCAAACAAGCTTCCCACAGGAGTCTTCTTTAGTGTGATTTATTGAGATGAAAGGGATAGGATTACAAGACTTCAGCAACAGAACTATTTCCCATTTAGAGAACAGTTTATCCAATAATGCATTAAGGAAAACACTTTTTAAAGTTTCATTTTAGCAGCCTTCCTGTTATTCTGTGGGAGCTGAGTTTGTTCATTCGTCAAAGGAAAAGTTGCAGCTGGCCATTTACATGACTATCTACTGAATCTTTATCAATATAGGAAATTAATCATAACATTTACTTAAATTCATTTTGCTTCTTTTACCTCTGAAGAAGTGCTGAAAGTGTGCACAGAGAAGTAATCAATTTTGTTCCTCTGAAACAGTCATTTTTAAATTTGTACTTGCAGCCTGAAGGATATTAACTTACAGAATTAAAATGAAAGACAAAATGAAATTGCAGGAATAATTATTTTGTGTTTAGCTATTTCTTTATAGTGTTTCTTTGTGTTGTGTAACACACTCGCAGAATATTTAGATCTATACATATCAGAAAGTCCATCTTGTTTTCTCCCAAGGAGACGTAGGAACACATCTGCCCATCTTCTTCTACTCAGGGAGAACTTTCCCTGCTGTGATTCCAGTCTTCCTTTTCATCCTTCCTTATGTTCTGTCCTTTTTTGCCCTCCAACCAGCTCTGGTGAATTGCTAAGGCCCAGAGACCCTCCATGGATTGCACTAGTTCAGACAGAATCCAGGAAGAAGCCGGCTCCTCTACCACCAGGCAATAGCAAAGGAAGCTCCCCAGTGGCCTTCGAAGAGAATGAAGATAGAGTAGAAGGAGGAAAGGCACAAATCAGGGAAGACAGAGCTGTTCTGGAAGAGCCAAAGCCTTATAACCCCTTTGAAGATGAAGACGAGGAAGAGGAGGAGAAGGAAGTTGTCATATCACAGAACACGCAAAAGCAAGAGCAAAGGGAGGGTGGTCTCAAGCCTACTCATCCCTGGTACGGCATTACTCCCACAAGCAGCCCCAAGACAAAGAAGCGACCAGCTCCAAGAGCACCCAGTGCCTTCCCACTTGGTGAGTTTCTTCAGCATGTTTTAAAATGGGGAAAAAATGCCTTCTAGATGGGTATCCTGACTTATTCAGCATGTCATTGCCTTCTTCTTTTTGCAGTATAGATCAGTGATGGTGAACCTTTTTGGCACCATGTGCCGAAAAGGGAGTATGCGTGTGTGCTTGTTGGGGTCACAACCGGAAGAGGAGCTGCCCAGGGGGCATGCGTCTGCTGGAAAATGAACTTCTGTTTTCCAGCGCACGCATGCGTGCCGGCCAGCTAGTCTTCCAGTTACTGGCACGCATGCGCAGAGGATGATCAGCTGGCTGGCGTGCATGCTCACACCGGAAAGCAGAAGACTAGTTCTTCCAGTTTCCGGCACTGCCACACACACAAAGACCAGTTGATTGTTGTGCATGCATGTGCACCAGAAACCCAGAAGAGGAACGGGAGGTGCCATGCATGCCAGGCGACATGGCTCCACGTGCCACTTTGGGCACAGGTGCCATAGGTTCGCCATCACGGGTATAGATCATGATTGATTTGATTGTTCAGTTGCTTCCAAAACA